CTAAATGCATCGGTGGTTGAGATAATAAAAAATCGGTTAACTGGGCCCGGCATCCTAGTGCATACTATATGAAAAGCCAGGATACTGATAGTAGGTTGTAACTCATGAGCTTGTGCTACACCACTGTACCAGAATGAGCGTCTGTATTGACGGGTTGTAATGTTACAAATGAGAGATGCCCAGGTACCTCCCTTACTAGGTTGGTAGTGATTGAGTTCCCTGGTTTTTACCTTTGCAGCAGATACCGGAATGATCGAAGTTGACAGTTCGTAATGCGTAATAAAATGCTAGTATCTTGAGTGCTTCATGATTCGAAGTGGTGTTGTGATCCATATCAACAAAAACTCTCACTAGCCGCCACAAAACCACATTGATTAGAGTGATTAATGTTCTAAATTAAGAAGCTGTGGCGCTTAAACATCCATTAACCAGAGTGAGGCTCAATGGCTTAAACACACAGGTGCACCACCCAAGAACCCCTTCTTCCCAGTGATCGACCTATGGTTGCAGGGATTCATGGCTTACAACTGTCAGCACAGCCCCGGTTTGTACGTCACTCGGCTGTGAGTTGTTTCGTCATGGGCACAAGTCAGGGAGAATAGAACAAATATGCCCTTATTGAATACCTAATAAACAGGACTGTTACCTAAGCTCAAGGGCTGCCTCAAAATAATGACACCTAACTAGTTAAGCTGCATAATTATTGTATTCCCAAGTATTTCCCCTCTTGTTTTTCGACCCTCCCATCTTCACTCTTTCGCTTCACTCGTTTTGCGATTTTTTACGACGACCCAAATAGAACAGTCTCTCACTAGGCCCACAGCTTCCACGCGTAACGCAGTCATCCAATCAGAAGAGAGCTTCCACGCAATCTAGACCAGCCTCTTCGTCCCTGGCGACCCTTGAAACAACCCGCTCAAGCCTACCTATCCCATTGAGCTGAAGTTCAGGACTTTGGATTCTGACCAGCCACCTAAGCTTGACCTAGCGCGAGGGATACATTTTCTGGTTCAACATCTTTCACTTGGGATCGACAAAATATCTATTTGACATATGCGCACGTCTTGTTGTCAGAAAGACTAGGCTTGGATCATTCGCCGAGTAACAAAATACCGATTCTTGATCTGTGACACCGTCTCGACCCTCTGAAACAGCTTGTCGCAGTTGTATCCCCTTTCTTTGCCGCTTGGCGGCTTACTCCCATCAACTATCTCGTAACCTCGTCCCGTTACTCGAGAAACTCTGCTTTCCTCAACCATGGCATCGCACGACTACTACAACGGCGGCAGCCAACAGGCTCCTTATGGCGCCGGCCCCAACGCTTCTGCCTACTATCAGAACCAAGATACTCCCTCGCCGCACTCGACACCAGCACCCCCATACGAGCCTAACTCGTACAACTCACACTATGCTCCCGACACCTCGATTTATCCTGCCGATTCTGCCACGCATATTGTTCCGACCAAGCAAACACCATACTCGCCTAACGATATACAATATCCTCCAGCGGGCACCTATGCTAGCCCTTCTGGCCAGAGCTCAAGCCATAATCAGCCTGGCCAAACTGGTCAGTCTCCTTTCGACACCGTCTTTGACGATCATGTGTACCCGGCAAACTCGAACACCGGACCGACTCCCGGCTCCAGTACGGCTGACATTGGCCAACAAGGCTTCTACCAAGATACAAGCTATGCTGGAGGGGCTGCCGCTGCGCGACCTTATGGTCAGGAAGACATTCCCCTTCAAGATCGGACCGCTAAAAATGACGATCCCGAGATGAATGATCATATATATGACGCCCCTGGGCGGCCTAAGAAGAAGGGCAAGAAGGGCAAGGTTCGCTTGGGCGAACTGGGTATGATTGGCTCTAACAAGAAGAGGATTCCTTGGGTTGTCTATATCTTTTCTGTTGTTCAGGTCGCTGTCTTCATTGCCGAAATAGCAAGAAATGGTAAGCTATGAAGACTGATGCAGAAGGAACACTGTCAGCTGACTCGTTCACAGGCGTACTAACAGGAACTCCCATTGCGATCAAACCGCAATTCAACATATTTATAGGCCCATCACCAGCTTTATTAATCAACATGGGCGCACGATATGCCCCCTGTATGCGCAATGTGAAGGGTATCCAGAGTGTGGACAAAAATGCGAAGGGTGCCGTTCTACCAGGTCTACTTTGCCCAAATGCTACCAAGGATGATAGTTTCTGCCCTCTTCATGTTGTCTGCGGTTTTGGGGGTGACGTTCCAGATCCTAAGTTTAATGGCGATATCAACCAGAGCCCCGAGCCCAATCAGTGGTACCGATTCATCACCTCAATTTTCATGCACGCCGGTCTTATTCACATCATTTTCAACCTTCTTCTGCAGCTTACCATTGCGAAAGAGATGGAGATGGCCATTGGACCAGTACGGTTTCTACTCGTTTACATGAGTGCTGGAATTTTCGGCAATATCATGGGTGGAAACTATGCGCCGCCAGGACAGCCATCTGTGGGTGCCTCTGGGGCCCTCTTTGGTATCATTGCTCTGGTTCTCCTCGATCTTCTGTACTCATGGAAGGACAGACGCAATCCGGTCAAGGATCTTCTTTTCATCATTCTTGATATGGTGATCGCATTTGTCTTGGGTCTCCTTCCCGGCTTGGACAACTTTGTCCATATTGGTGGTTTTCTGATGGGACTTTCTCTTGGCGTCTGTGTCCTACACTCACCCAACTCACTGCGACGGCGAATGGGCCAGGAGCTGTCGTACGCAGCCGTTTCTCCTCAGACTGGTGAGACACCCCCTCACTTTTTCAAGAACCCTGTCGGTTTCTTTAAGGGGCGCAAGCCACTCTGGTGGGCTTGGTGGCTGGTTCGAGCTGCCTTCCTCGTCATGATCATTGTCGTCTTCATTGTTCTCTTGAACAACTTTTACAAGTACCACGACACCTGTGAATGGTGCAAGTATCTCAACTGCCTAGTAAGTTTCTTAACACTACTGCTCAAGATGATAAAGTAGCTAACCTCGTACAGCCCATCAACGATTGGTGCGATTGGGGATCTTTTGAGCATCTTAAGGAGCCCAAGAGTTCTTCATAAGTTGATAATGACTGAGGCTGGGTCGGCAGAGATCTAAACAAAGTCGCATCGAATTGAATAGTGCGCGGCTTTAGATAGCAGCATGTACGTTAATAAGCAATTTTATTCATTGCTAAGCTCGGCACCATTGGACAAGCAGTTAGATCCTGCTCTTTTACTGGAAGCACTACAAAGACGTCGGGGAATGCTACTCCTTGCTTTCTTTACGTCGATTAATGAAGAAATGATTTATCCAGCGCCATCGTATGGTTGAGCGTGATTTCAGGGTCTAACCGGTAATTTTCGGAATGAGTGATGTGAATGTGACTTGCTGACAATCATCAGCCAGTTATGCGTCCTGGCAGTCTGCTGGCAGAGTATCATGCATTTGCCCAACACACCATGCTTGGACATGGATATGAGACATGGGTTCAGTGATACTATTACATGATATTGCAGCTCTTGGCTGTATACAGCTCCAACCAACATAACACAAAGTCACGCGATACCCCGCAAGTCGTCGATTTTGTGACCAAAGTAAATGATATGCCTGACAACTTCACGGTGCTATAAATGCTATGCTTCCCTCCTGTTGCTCGTTTGTGAATGCAAGTTCTTCCTCGCCGTCTAGACAAGCACTGTTACATGCGTAGCCCTGTGTTCCATGAAGATGCTTCCCTTATATTATACTGTTAGCCCCCTTGTGCCTGAATGAGTAAGTTTTCTCAATCTTTAATACGTTTTTAACTTGTTTGGGTAATATGATGAATTCTTTTTATGCATGGCTTAACTGATCTCCCGAGATGGAGTACGGATGCTTATAGAATGGATGTCTGAATGTGTTCTTCCCCTAGTTATGCAACCTGCTATGACCGATGTTACCGAGCAAGCCTTGAACTGACAGGAAGGATAGGTTCCATGAAAGTCTATTAACGGTCGCTGCCACGGCAAGGTATTAGTATCTTGTGATGCCTTTCAAGATAGCGTGCTCCCCGATCATATTGGCAGCTGAATTTGGTAGTGCAACCCTTGATAGGTACTCAAGTCCGGGAACAATCTTTCCATGAAGCTGTCGTATGTGCACAGCCAAGGGCCTTTTGCGTTCGAAAACACGATCGTAAGGGATAGGAAACTACCTTGTATCATATAGATGTGCCTTCTTCGCGTAACTCAATCGGCCCTGGTTTGTGTGGAAGCGCTCTCGCGGCCATTGAACTCACAACGCGAATGCCTAGGGACTGGGTATTAATATGCACCATCAGTTGCCCCCGTGCAGCGAAGTGATGATTTCCCGATCACAGTTCGGAACAGAGCATCGTGCTCCCGACGACCGTAGACTACGGTTGATCTTTTTAACTTTCACTCTTTTGGTAGACGATCCCTGGCCTTGAACTTCTGGTTCTGATAGTGCTGCATCTTTCTTCTGAGTGCCAAGCTGTATACTACGAGCGTCTATCTCCACAAAGAATCAGTACAACAATATTTTACTCCCTGATGGAGGAGGCTGTATGAAACCCATGTTCACCTTTAGATATTGGTTGGTTTGATCATATGTGGAGGTATACAAAGAGTTCGCCCGTTCCAGGTGTAGGGTAGGAGCCTGCATAAGGTCCTCATGAGAAGATGCATGACGCCTGTTCACGTGACTAAGGCGAGAAAGTACGGGTAAGTGGGGCCAGTCACGTCACGCTTTATAAGTCGCGCTACGCGGTCGGTATCAATTAAAGTCGTGTCGTCAAACCCATCAGAAATCTCCCCTGTTAGAGTCTCCCCTCCAACCGTTTAGTGTCAACAATCATAATCCACCAAAGACGTCGTCCAACACTCTTCACTCTCCTTACTGTGGATGAATACGTGATTGTATAACAGTCTGTTTGTCTTTTTCTCTCTCTTCGTTGCCTTGCTCTTTCTTGTCTAGCATTCGCCATCATCAGTCACCATGGCCAGTGCAGTTCTTCCTCAGAAACGAGTTCTGGGCGAGAGTCACACTCGCCAGAACATCACATCGTCTCCCTCCTCAACGAAGAAGCGCAAAGTAGATGCAATTCCGTCATCACCTGCCGCCGCCCGGGCTCCCAGCTCCCAGCATGACCATCGATCCAAAATGACATCCACTCAGCCCAAGAGTGCTTTTGAATCAGAAGTCCTCGAAAAGCTCAGCCAGGACTTGTCTGACCGCAAACGCAACAACACAGAGAAGGATCAGGCATGGGATAGACCACCTGTAGTAGACTTCGTGCCGGAGCGTGACAGTCTCTGCTTCCAGTCTATCGAAGCTGAGGAGGGTACCTTACACGGCGGACGGGCTACCGTCAAGCTGTTTGGTGTCAATGAAGCAGGAAACTCAGTCATGCTGCACGTTACTGACTTCAAGCATTATCTATACGTTCCTGCACCCGTCAACTTCCAACCACAGGAATGTGCAGCTTTCAAAGCATACCTGGAGACACAAGTCGCTCAACATCAACCGACGATCCACTCAGTCGCCTTTGCTATGAGAGAGAACATCTACGGATTTCAAGGAAATCAGTCGAAACCGTACCTGAAGGTTACTGTGACAGATCCCAAATTCATCAACAAAGTTCGAACAACGATTCAAAGTGGCAACGCAAACTGGAAAGGCATGTGGAGGAATGATGGCGAAGTTCAAACTTTTGACAACCTACAATATCTGCTGCGTTTCATGGTTGACTGCAAGGTATGAGCAATGCAATCTGATAACTATATGATCTAATACTCGTCCAGGTCCGAGGTATGTCATGGGTTGAAGCTCCCGCTAAGGCGTATAAAATCATCCCCGATCATGTTCGCCAATCCAACTGTCAAATCGAAGCTGAAGTTAGCTACCTCGATCTTGTCGCACACGAACCGGTCGGCGAATGGTCAAAGATGGCACCCTTACGTATTCTGTCTTTTGATATCGAGTGTGCCGGCCGTAAGGGTATATTTCCGGAAGCAAACCACGATCCCGTCATCCAGATCGCAAACATTGTTACACAATATGGAGAGAAGAAGCCATTCGTCAGAAATGTATTCTGCTTGCAAGAAACGAGCTCTATTGTGGCAACTCAGATTCTTGAGTATGAAAAAGAGGAGAAAATGCTGAGTGATTGGCAAAAGTTCCTTATACGCGCGGACCCTGATATCATCACCGGCTACAATATTTCCAATTTCGATTTCCCATATTTGCTAGACCGAGCGAAACATCTCAAGGTATCTGGTTTTGAATACTGGACTCGAATCCCCAGTATGCAATCCAAAGCCAAGGAAACAAATTTCTCCAGCAAACAGATGGGCAACCGAGACACCAAAGCTACAAACACCAACGGTCGATTACAACTGGATCTACTCCAACTGATCCAGCGTGATCATCACCTCAGAAGCTATACTCTGAACTCTGTGTGTGCCAACTTCCTTGGCGAGCAGAAGGAAGATGTCCATCATACAATGATTACAGAACTTTTCAATGGTACACCCGAGTCGCGAAGACGTCTGGCGCTATACTGTCTGAAAGATGCCTACCTCCCGCAAAGGCTAATGGACAAACTCTCTTGTTTGGAAAACTATACTGAAATGGCAAGAGTCACAGGTGTACCTTTCAATTTCTTATTGTCTCGAGGTCAGCAAGTCAAGTTCATCAGTCAGTTGTTCCGAAAAGCACTAGAGCAGAAACTTGTCATCCCCAACCTCAAGTCAGAAGCTTCTGATGAACAGTATGAAGGAGCTACAGTCATTGAGCCAACCCGAGGTTACTACGATGTTCCAATCGCCACTCTGGATTTTGCCTCTCTATACCCTAGTATTATGCAAGCTCATAACCTTTGCTATACCACTCTGGTCAGCAAGAAGGCGATTGAAGCTTTCAATCTCAAGAAAGACGAGGACTACATTGTCACGCCCAATGGAGACACTTTTGTAACAGTCAAGCAACGGAAGGGCTTGTTAGCACAAATTCTTGAGGAACTTCTCGCGGCCCGTAAACAGGCCAAGCGTGAGTTGGCGGTTGAGACAGATCCCTTCAAGAAGGCTGTGCTGAACGGTCGACAGCTGGCTCTGAAAATCAGCGCAAACAGTGTGTACGGTTTGACTGGTGCTACAACAGGCAAACTCCCATGTCTCGAGATTGCCAGTAGTACAACAAGTTTTGGCCGAAAGATGATTGAGAAGACCAAGGAAGAGGTGGAAAACCGTTACAACATAGCAAACGGATACTCTCACGACGCCCAGGTCATTTACGGTGATACTGATTCCGTCATGATTAAGTTCGGTACCAAAGACCTGCAGGAAGCTATGAAGCTGGGTGAGGAAGCTTCGAAATACGTATCGGAGAAATTTGTTAAACCCATCAAACTCGAGTTCGAAAAAGTGTACTTCCCATATCTGCTGATCAACAAGAAGCGATATGCTGGTCTATACTGGACTAAACCAGAGAAGTATGACAAGATGGACACAAAGGGTATTGAGACGGTGCGACGTGACAACTGTTTGTTGGTTCAGACTGTCATTGAAAAAGTCCTACGGATGATCTTGATTGACCAGGATGTTCAAGGTGCCCAAGAGTAAGTTCTCTTTCTGGTTATGCTTCAGTGTTCTTTTCTTTCCTTTGAGGTTATTAGACCGCTTCAGGCAGTGCGGGGAGAAAACGGAATGCTAACGGTAAATTGTCTAGGTATGTCAAAGAGACGATTGCAGATCTGCTGCAAAATAAGGTCGACATGTCGAAATTGGTCATCACAAAAGCTCTTACAAAGGACGATTATGCCGCAAAGCAAGCCCACGTCGAGCTGGCGCAACGCATGAAGAAGCGAGATGCAGGCTCGGCACCGGGACTCGGTGACCGAGTGGCCTACGTCATGGTCCGAGGCCCAGCTGGCGCCAAAAACTTCGAGAAGTCGGAGGACCCCATTTACGTGCTTGAGCACAACGTACCGATAGATACGCGGTACTACTTGGATAATCAACTAGCTAAGCCACTCGGCCGTATCTTTGAGCCGATTCTCGGTGAGACCAAGGCGCGCTCTCTACTTACAGGAGATCACACGCGTACCATCTCGGTTGCAGCTCCCACTGTTGGAGGTCTCATGAAGTTTGCAAAGAAGACACAAACATGCATGGGCTGCAAGAAACCTCTGACAGGGAAAGAAGAGTCACAGGGGGCGGTGTGCTCCAATTGCGCACCTCGCGTTGGTGAGCTTTACAAGAAGACGCTTGATCGCGTTTCAGACTTGGAAGTGCGCTTCGGGCGACTATGGACCCAGTGCCAGCGCTGCCAGGGTAGCATGCACTGCGAGGTTATCTGCAGTAGTAAAGATTGCCCCATCTTTTACATGCGCATGAAAGCCAAAAAAGATCTTGAGGATGCTGGCCGCGAGCTTTCCCGTTTTGACGCTGATCAGGCCGCTATGTGGTGAGAGCTGGGAGGGTTGTTTCTCCAGGCATCTACACCTCTTCAACATTCTGAGTTGTCACTTTATCATTTACATTGTCTTGTATGTTTATTGAATTACTGGAGAGGGAACCAAAGCATCTCTGGATGCGGTTGGAAAGATGAGGAGAGTCGTGCTGAGATGTAATGGAAGAGATGCTCCTATAAAAATCACGGCTGGGAATAGGCATATTGTATGTATAGGCGCAGGTACAAGTTTGGGATTGTTTGTAGTCGTACTATGTACGTAAGGCGTTTTGGGGCTTGGAGCCGCGGGTTCAACGTTGCTGCAGATATCACTGCATATATTTAAGACAGAATAAAGCATGCGGCATTGGCATGAACACGTTTGAGACTTTAATTTCCCTTACAAACGACAATGACCAAGTCGTACTACAAACCAGGGTGAAATGTTCAAAGGCAACGTAGCAATGGTATCGAAGCAATATTTGGAAATAGTCATGATGCATGAGTTGGAAGCATTATAATAGCCTAAGTCTGCGTGTTTCTGTTTCTTAACGGTGAAAAAGCGAAGACCTACACAAATGGCATGATGTTTATCAAATCGTGTGTTCCGGGCTTCTGAGCGTTTAACCTGACCGAAGCAAATCGAGGCTCACTGGGGGCTTCTCCGCGGGATAAGCCCTGACCGTGTGGCAGACCGACGGTGGTGAATAATAATTTTGGCAATAGTGAGACTCAGAGAGACAAGTAATGATCGGAAAGAAGAGGGAAGCCGCGGAACATATTGGAATCAAAGGGCAGTCCAAGGGGTAATGAGGGGTGCTGAAGGCTGAAGGGGGGGTATTATAAGTCATGATGAGCTGAAAGTTGGGGGCAATTCATGAGGGAATAGATTCATTCATGATGAATGTGGCCAATGCCCAAACCATAGTCTCGGGCTATGGCCGATGCCCAGTGGTTCGGCGATGAAGCCCGAGAATTTTGACTCTTTCTAGTAGTCCTCGGAAGGCACCCGAAGTACATGGCTTCAGACTTTCTGATGGACATGTTTGTCCGGATGGATCTGCCAGATCCGTAAACGGCGGACGGCTAAACATTCACGATCAAGACCAAGATTCGTTGTTGTCGGGAGCGAGGTAGTCTCGGTCAAAAGTATAGCGAGGGATGAAACGGAAGCTAAAGGCTTCTAATCGGTCCGTGGAGACATGCTCTGATAATTTGACAGGCGTTGTACTGATGAGTTGGGAGAATGTTGTGACAGGACAGGCTCCCCCAGATTATTTTATCCTAGTATCCCCGCCACTGAATGAATTGTAGCGGGCCAGTATTCGTTCGTTCGGAAAGGATTTCGGCAACATATGATGGTCTGGGGCTGCTTATGTTGTGGTTTGATAGATCTTTTTCCGACATGGCTGATCAAGAGCGCCATTGGTCGGAGGAAGAATTGATGTCAATTCATTCTTCAAACAAGATGACAATGCGGCCAATAAGAATGTCTTGATAATATAGAGACTAATAGTTACAGTTCAGGGTCCGGGGAGTGTCGATATGTGCTGCGCGTCAATGGGGCCACCACGAATATTACCGTTAATGAATCGAAGAAGATGATTGAGGTAAGTTGACAAGGATAATGTTCCGGCGCATGCTGTAATTCCAAGTGCGCAGGGTCGGAGGAAGACGCCGGTGACGGGACAAGGGTAAGATGCAACGGTATGAGCTATTCCCGCATTTTGAGTCGTCGCTGATTCGACAGAAAGCAAAAGGTATTTCCTTTTCTAGATATAAAGAAGAAGTTTGGCTTGGGAATTGGTAATGGATTGTTTGATTTGATGCGCTTGGTCAGGCTAAAGTCCCGGGAACCTGGCTGATGCTTTTACACATACACGACACAGCACTTTAATGTTAAGATTTAGGTTAGCAGTGTGGTGGGCTTGGGGATGAGGCACTTTTCTCGTTCCGATAGACACACAGATCAACATTCAAAATAATCCTGGAGTCGTCTTTTGAGCGTGGGATGCAGCAAGGGACCTACCGTGATTATATCTCGTGTGGGGTTATTTGTTAGCTGAGAATGTCCATGCTTACCTGGGGATATACTACGAGTAAGGCAACAGTCAGGCCAGCTCAGTTTGGCGCCGAGCAAGAATCACAAGTGATTAATAAAGGCATTGATGAAAGGATTAACGATGATGATGATGATGATTTCACACAAGCCAAGATAAGATGTGCAGGTAATTTACAGTACCCCCACTACGCAAGTCTAAGAGCGACGGTGGCAAGCGTGGAGGTGAAGTGCTGTATAGAGCGAATGGAGAGGATCTGATAATGGGTTGGAATAATGGGCGTTGGCTAATAAGAACCGTATCATGATTAATGAATGGCTGAAAACATGGCATCTTTGATCTTTACTAGAGAGGGCATGGTACGACGGCAGCCAGGACCTACATTGCCGAAGTGAACGAGCGAACATCGGAGGTTGAAGGTGGTGCCCATGAGAATGGGAGGCTAATAAGGTACCCGTATGCGCGCGACATATGAGAGCCCGAGATCCATTGGCTAGATGGTGGGGAAGAAACGGAGTTTGTACGGAGGAGCTCACGGCAGCTGTGAAGACCCTGGTGTAGTGTTAATAGATTAGTAAGGTACTCTCACATGTAAGTTACCTTGGGTATAATCTCATACTGTTACTTGCATCTTTCTATTACCTCAAGCAGTAGACGAAAACGGAGAGTATGTAGTGACAATCTGTAATTCATCCAACTTAGGTACCTTGGGTAGCGAATACAAATTCTTCAACTTACAAGACCACAAACTCCAGAACAGACAGTAATGAAAAAATGGAACCCCCCCCCCCCCCCCCCCCCCCAGGGTGTGTGATGAGGCTCCTTGTCGATGTCGATGTGGGGTGTGACGCTAGACTGGGGTTTATCAGGAACGACAGAGATTAGGGTGTGTCTTGTCACTCGATTAGATGGGATAATGGCAACGCGATTGCCTATCGAGTGAGCTTTTTTCTGACTCCCGTCCTTTATCTCTGAACACGGAAGACAAGGTACTTTGCAATTGTCGCATGTTTGCGCCGTGCCGCGCTGCTCTGCGCTCATGTATCGTATCCTGTCCTGGCATCGGCCTTGTATCGGATGCGGACGTGGACCTGGATGCCATGACGGAAAGAGTGATGGAGCGAGCCAAGCGACCATCTCTTGCCATTCTTTTGCAGCCCTCGATAACCATATAAACCTCGACTCCCGTCACATTCGAGACGGTTTCTCTCCCTCCTTATCTCATACTCACACGTCTCGAAAAGTGTATCGAATTCTTCGCAATCGCCTTCCTAGCAGGAATCTATTATCAACACTTTCGATATACATCCCAAATGCAGCTGAACACTATGTCTCACCTCCCTCAAGAGCCCGAGTTCGAGCAGGCTTACGGCGGTAGGTAATCTATATATACATCAATGAGAACACTAACCCTGACTTGCAATTTCTAGAGCTCGCCTCTGCCCTTGAGAACAGCTCTCTCTTTAACGAGCACCCCGAGTATCGCACTGCCCTTGCTGTGGCCGCCATTCCTGAGCGTGTCATCCAGTTCCGTGTCGTCTGGAACGACGACAAGGGTAACCTCCAGGTCAACCGCGGTTATCGCGTCCAGTTCAACTCTGCCCTTGGCCCCTACAAGGGTGGTCTTCGATTCCACCCCAGCGTCAACCTGTCCATTCTCAAGTTCCTTGGTTTCGAGCAAATCTTCAAGAATGCCCTGACCGGCCGTAAGTGACCTCATCGCCGCGCTTATCTGGTCCCTGCATATTGCGGGGCGATGGGATTAGCACAATTTGAAGGGAATCAGACTCGCTAACATTGTTCTAGTTAACATGGGTGGTGGCAAGGGTGGTGCCGACTTCGACCCCAAGGGCAAGTCTGATGCTGAGATTCGACGATTTTGCCAAGCCTTCATGACTGAGCTGTCCAAGCACATTGGTGGCGAGACTGATGTTCCTGCTGGTGATATTGGTGTCGGTGGCCGCGAGATCGGTTACCTCTTCGGCGCCTACCGCAAGCTCCGCAACCGTTGGGAGGGTGTCCTCACTGGAAAGGGTCTCTCATGGGGTGGTAGCTTGATCCGACCTGAGGCTACCGGTTACGGTCTCGTCTACTACGTCGAGTACATGCTCAAGCACGCCAACCGTGGCACCTTCGAGGGCAAGCGCGTCGCCCTCTCCGGCTCTGGAAATGTCGCCCAATACGCTGCTCTCAAAGTCATCGAGCTTGGTGGCTCCGTTGTCTCTCTTTCCGACTCCAAGGGTGCTCTCGTCGCCAAGGAGGGTTCTTCCTTCACACCTGAGCAAATCCACAACATTGCTGCCCTCAAGATCAAGCACCAAGCCCTGACCACTTTCGAGCACGATGGACAGTTCACATGGATCGAGGGTGCTCGCCCTTGGGTCCATGTTGGTAAGGTCGACATTGCCCTCCCCAGTGCTACTCAGAACGAGGTCAGCAAGGAGGAGGCCCAGGCTCTCGTTGATGCTGGCGCCTTCATCGTCGCTGAGGGCTCCAACATGGGTTGCACTGCTGAGGCTATCGATGTCTTCGAGGCTCACCGCAAGGAGAAGGGTGCTGAGGCTCTCTGGTACGCTCCTGGCAAGGCCTCCAACTGTGGTGGTGTCGCCGTTTCTGGCCTTGAGATGGCCCAGAACAGCCAGCGCATCCAGTGGACTGAGAAGGAGGTCGATGACCGCCTGAAGGCCATCATGAAGGATGCCTTCGTCGCTGGTCTCGAGACTGCTCAGAAGTACGTCGAGGCCAAGGAGGGTGAGCTTCCCAGCTTGATTGCTGGCAGCAACATCGCCGGCTTCATCAAGGTCGCCGAGGCCATGCACGATCAGGGTGATTGGTTCTAAGATGGACATCTAAGGAAGCCTGGGAGGAGATCAGAGATCGATCAGAAAGACCGCAATACCCGAGCTGGGCTCACATCAAGGCGATCTGATCTTCTCATCACGACTCTCTCGCCCAGTGTCGACTTATTTCTGCATGGAACGGAGTTTTATTCTTGGCTACTATCAGGGCATGCATACTGTTGGGCGTTGGTGGGGTTTCAAGAAGGGAATTACTTTTGTTTTTCTTCACGATAGACGTGGGCCTGGATCTTATAGTTTTTTTCACCTATTTCCTTTACATTTTCTCTTACAGCCCGATAGGACGAAGAATGAAACACAATACTTTTGATTTAAGTACATGAGCCCTCTATGACATATGTTTTTGGTAAACTTAATTATATCTACTTGAGGCTAAGCTTGATTCTTTCAAAATGTTCAAGCTTTGACCGATATCAAACCAATTGGCGTTAATACTCTGTCTCGTTCTTCAAGACTGGGGAAGATTTAAGCCACTTCACTCAATGGTATAGCTTCAAGGGCCCAATCTGATGAAGAGAAGATATAATTTAATTTGGTAAATTCTCCTCTTGGAGTATTGGGGTCTGGTGTCAGTGTAGGTGATATTTCGGCTACCTTACTCATGCACTCTTCTGAATCCAAACTCTCCCCGCTTCGCTAAATTGGTCAGGTACTGTTACAGGACATGATAGCCATGGGAAGCTTTAAACGAGGCCAAGTCGGATAATAGGTTAAACTTGACTACTGGTGCTGTTCATTAGTTGGTTAAGCCATGCTCACTTACACACGTGAAGTTGCTGAGTTTAAAGCAAAAGTCCCCAAGTGCTGTGCTGCAATAGTTCATAAACTGTTAATATAAGCTTTACTATATACATATCTTCTTTGGTATTGTATGCTGATGGTGATGCTCATAACCGTCTCCACTTGGGCGTGTTGTTCATTACCTTATAGTACGAAGTTAGGCTAAATTTATGTATGGTTCCTGGTTGTTTCCTTGTGGAACCTCGGTTGATGGGTAGTACCGCGGGGAAAATGTTGCCTTAGTACTTTAGGTAGATATCTTATCTCCTTCGCTATACATTGTAAGTCAGATATCATCACTTCCATTACGCTTATTTGATGCCTCACCTGATGGTCTTGGTTCTCGACTTTTTCTTCTAAGAAAAAAAAAAAAAGGAAAAAGAAAAAAAAAGAAAAAAAAAAACATATGTTACCACATATTTACTTTGACCTTAATCTTACCATACCTTCATATTATCTACGATGTCGCAGCATCCTCCTTTGACTGGTATTAAGGTGCTAGAATTCGCTGGTCTTGCTCCTGGTGAGTCCACCAAACACAAATGAAAGGGCAAAGTTGATAAACCGATTCCTTTGAAGGACCTTATGCTGGTATGTTGCTCGCCGACGCCGGTGCCTTGGTCGTCCGCATAGACCGCGCTCGACCCGACACATCTGCGCCTACAGAAGACATGCTAGCCCGGCACAAATCTTCCATATCCGTGGATCTCAAATCGGAGCGTGGTGTTGCGCTTATCAGACGCCTCGTTGCTGAGGCCGATGTCCTCATTGACCCTTTTCGTCCAGGCGTGCTCGAGAAACTGTCTCTGGGTCCGGATGAGCTGTGTCGTCTTAACCCAAGGCTGATATATGGCCGCATGACTGGGTTCCGTCGTGATGGAAAGTACGCACTCATGGCAGGTCACGACATTAACTATCTCGCTGTTTCAGGTACACTTGGAATGCTGGGCAGAGATGATGAGAAGCCACACCCGCCGTGGAACATCTTGGCTGACTTTGCGGGTGGAGGAGCAATGCTATTTGAAGGAATCTTAATGGCCATCATCTCAAGACAATCTTCTGGCCGCGGACAAGTTGTCGAGGCAAATATGGTAGATGGAAGCTCATATCTGACCACTTTCCCTCGAATGGCGCTCAAGACGATAATGGGGAACAGTGGCCGAGGAAACAATTTGCTCGATGGAGGTGCTCCTTTTTACGACACTTACAAGACATTGGATGGGAAATATGTTGCCGTTGGAGCTCTCGAACCGAAATTCTTTGCCGCACTACTTAGTGGGCTCGAGCTTGCTGGTCAAGGATGGGAGGATGATCAGCTCAACAGAGTTCGCTGGCCTGAGCTTCGGAAGTTAATGACAGACAGGTTTCGAAGCAAGACTCGTGCTCAGTGGGAACTAGTATTTGATGGTACAGATGCGTGTTGCACCCCAGTGCTGGAGTATAGCGAACTAGAGCATGACCCCAACCGGGAAGGTGATCAGAGACCAGCGGTGACGTTGCGGGAGACGCCATGTCTTGCGGTGAAAGAGGGCGTAGGGCATGTTGACCCAGCTCTGTTTGGACAAGGCCCAGGCGTACCCGGAGATGGCTATAGAGCGAGTTTGCTGAAGCCTGGAGCAGGGGGGGAAGAAGTCTTGAGGGAATGGTTGGGATGGAAGAACGGAACCGAGTATGTACTGGAGCGGGGAGGGTTTGTGCTCAAAGAGCTTTCCAAGCTGTGATATTTACCAATTATGGGCGTCGTGTTTTATATAAACCACTATTGGTGCAAGCCAATGGTAGAACGACTAGATAATTTGTGTTAGGACACAGGCACCGGAACGATAGAGTTGTGTTGGATGCACACTCAAAAGGGCAATGATTATATATTCTACCTACAACAGGACCTTGCTACACAATTTACTGAGCACTATTAAGCTCGGTAGAAAGCGCAAGCCAGGCATGAAGTCCGGGAAAGCTTAGCTGTCCAGCCAACACAAATCCTCCATTTACTCCCGCTTCCTTGACAACACCCCAAGATGAAACCACGCCTGCAAACGCTGTCGTACGCAAGGACCAAGCCATGCATCCCAATGTAAGTCATTAAGCAGTCTACTCTAGGCCTCCTCCTGAAAAGTGTGGTATCGAAAAAAAATAGTGATGCTCAGGACGTCATGCGAAGAGAGTTGGGAGACGACTGCTGGGTAGTGATCCCCCTGGGGCGTTTAATTCGTAGATAGAGAAGCTGCATACGGGCCCAGTCTGACCCTGACGCCGAGTTGAGAAGTGATGATGAGAATCTTCGTCCATCATCACATCACTGCACTTGGCTAACGATCTCACTAGCCTTCGAGAGAGACTCGACCATCTGCTGGCACTCCTTTCTCCGTCGGATTGTGAAGTCACTCTCCTTCAGAAGGTCGTCCAATGTGTCGGTTCGGTACATGTTCTCCAATAGCTCTCGTTGCATTTCGTCCTTGGTAAACCTATAGCTGATATTAGGCGACTTGATGGCATCTCTGGCTGCGAAACACTTACTGCACAAGGTTCAGCATGACAGCCTTGGGGACCATGTCAATCATGGTTCGCTTGACGATGTTATAATAAGAGGAGATGAGGAGCTCTATAAAACGATCAGTATTGTGTCATAAAAGCCCAATCCCTCATGTGCACATACTGATAACCTCAACCTCAATGTTCTCGCGTTCTGACAGAGTACCAGAAGCTTTGAGAGTGGGCGGAGGAGCTTCCATAGCGGCGGCCTTCTTCTTGTTCTTGGCCGCGAAGAAGCTACCAAAAAAGCCCGAGTTACCGGAGCTATCAGGATCGGGGACTGTCGGGCTTGCAGCCCGGGGGGTTGATGCGAGAGGCTTGCCAGTCTTAGGGTCAACCTGAACAGGCTTGCTGGGGTTGTATCGCTCATTCACCATCGCCATTGCCTGAGGTATCAATTAGTGCCATTCCTAATAAGCTCAGAACCGAATTGACTTACTCGGTGGCCGTTCAAGAAGTCGGGGTGACCTGTGTTGACGTAGCATGACTCCATAGCCACCAAATCTCTGACAAGCTTGTTGGTAGGTTCCATAGCCTTCTTGAAGAAAGCAATCACCACACCATGCATCTTTTCCTTCAGTTGAGGGTACCGGCGGTAAAGCTGCTTGGCGAGAAGCTGTGACAGAATTCGAACAAGTTCATCGTATACAAGAGAAACACACTTTAAGCTGGGGTCTTCTAATCGCTTAATCTGCTGCTTCACAATCAGCTCGAAAGCGGTAGTACCAACAAATAGTGCTGGAGAAGAACCAGAAGAGTTATAGAGGATAGTGCGGATGTCGACATCCTTGACGACATCAAAGGGGTCAATGGCCTTGACACCGTTCGAGTAAAGCTCGTGGAAGACAAAGCTGATACGAGCACCTCCCGAAAGCTCAGTGCTGGACAGCTCAGTGTTGTTACCATCCAGAACTGTGCGCCACTCATTGGTGAACTCGGTAATGATATTTAGAACGATGTTGGCGCTGTTACCGAGCATAGAAGGGCCGAGACTTTCCAGCTCAGCTGTGTATTTTTGGAGAGAACTACTGATGCGGGCCTTAATGTCAGGTAGGGTCTGCTTGATGTGCATCATGAGAATAAGGTTAAGTTTGCGCGCGAGATAAGGAGTTCCACAGTATGAGCTCTTGTTTCGGTAGGCCTTATGGTTTTCGAAAAAGTTCTTCTCAGCCTCGAGCGCCTGGTTGATGGCCTTTCGGTTATCAATATCTCGTTGACCTCGATTCACCACAGGGACGTAGCCCAGTCGAAGAGGAATGACACGGTTCGACAGGATATCGATGACATCGGTTCCCTCATCCATCAAATCAACCTTGGTCAAGACTCCGATCGTCCTTTGACCTTCAGGGTCAACCTCTCGTGCCAGCTTGAGACCGTCCGAGTTGGCCAAATCTTGGTTGGCGGCAGTGACTGCAAGTATGATCGCGTTAGACTTGCCGATATGTTTAAGAACCATCTCCCGGATCTGTCGTTCGATATCGCGGGGCTGATCTCCGACGGGGACCTTGGTAAGTCCGGGCAAATCGACCAGGGTCAGAGTGAGGACGTTGGGAGAGTAGATGCGAAGGTTGATGGGAGCGGGGGAGATGCCGGCATTTCGTCCAACCTTGGCTTCTGTTTCTCGAGAGATCTCGTCTCGAATCTTGGAGAAGTCGTAGAACTTCTGTCCAGGGGCATGAAGGAACTCTCCCCACTCATCGGCATTGGCCTGCTTATCATTGGTGGTATCAACCTCATCGGCCTTGACCCCATTGCTCTGTGCCGGGCGGTTGATGAGTTGAAGAACGAGGGGACGTCGGGTTACGATACCAGAGCCTCGGGGCAAGCTAAGAGGGGCGGTCAGTCTCGAGGCGACCCAACGTAGGCGGTATGCAGTAAGGTACTCACAAGTCTCGGCCGACAATATTCTCCAAAACTGAACTCTTTCCGCTCGACTGGCTTCCCACCACGGCGATCTGAGGCAAATCGATAGGGTTGTTGACACCAACAGTCGCGAAAACATCCTGAAGCTTATTGACAAGTCTATCAATGGAAGTTAGAGGTAGGGTAGAGTTGGAAGGTTGACATCGTGACTAACTGGATCAGGGCGGGATCCGAAATGCCGCCCTGTGAAGCAAGGGAGCCGCTCATATTCGTTGATTCTTCCAGCTTGAACCTGTGTACGCTTGAACGATGCGTAAAGTCGAGCGGGTTGAAAAAGACGGGTGGGGAGGAGGGTTGATGGTTTATTTAACTTCCGGAAAGCGGTCGAGGCAAAAGATAGCAGGAAACGTTGCGCAAGTTTGGAAAAATGCACCACAGCAGCCCTGATTGGTCTGTAAGTTTGTCACCTGTACAAGGCGTGAGAATGGAAAGCGTTCGGGGGTGAAAGCTCGTAGTAAATGAGAAATGGGTGGTGTTGCTAGAATAAAGGAGGGAACTCACAAGACGACAGCGAGTTCACGAGCCTAATGGCACTAAGAGTTGCGCGCCGCATTACGTCCTTACGTTGTGCCACACAGTGGCGCAGGAATACCCAATCTCAGGTTTTATTGCCTGACATAACTGGCCCAAGAGCTTAGCGTTTCCATCAATTGTATTGCACGTGACGGACCTGAATATCAATCTGGGCGACATGGAAGCTAAGAACTTTGTAGCCTGATGAACACGTCAGCTTGTGATGGTTCCCAAAGATGAAAATGGCTGCCTTCCTTTAGGCGGCATATGTAAGAGAAGCCATGATGATACTGTTAGGACGTGGCTTCATAGGTAGGCAGCTTCTCCTGACTGGAGGCCTCGATACATATGTTCAAACTTATTCAGCATTTTTAGAACAGGACGGTATTTCCAGGACACTTATACTACTTCTATTATGGGCTAGTAGAACCTCGTTCATATGATCAGTTCTTGAGTCTTTTCGATTTCAATCTTCAAGCGAAGATGAAAATCCAGCTAGCCATGCCCTTCATTTTTATTTGTTAGTTTAAAAAGATAAAAACAGATGTCTCCTGGTCTTGACAGGGTATAGAGGAAGGGAAGGATCATGCGCATGAAATATAGAAGTAGTGGATGAGCTACAATCCCAAAATGTCCATCTTTACGATACCCAATGTAAGCTACGATCTATCTATGTGCTAACCTTATTCGAGAACCGTCAGCATGGTGGTAGGGCTTATATGAATGATTGCAGTAGAAGTAACAAGTAAGAACATAATGTTTTTGGATGCCCCTTGAAGAAAGTCATCATTTGCGGTGACGATATGATCTGAACGTCATCAGCTAAGGCTGCAGTGGTGTGGGGGTGACACTGCATCTTAAGCCGAGACGCTAACTGACGGATGTGTGAGAAGCTCTATGAGGTCTTTCGAGTTTGGTGGCAGTCAACAAGAGAATGCATGCCCATAGGTTTCGTCCTTTGAGGTTTTCGAGAAGAAAACGACTCATTAAAGAAGTGACGGGATGTCAGAATAGTAAAAAGAGGCAATGTTGAATCGGCTATCTCGTCTCGCAAACCTCCACTTATTCCGCCCTCTGGTCCATAAGTTCCAATGTTTATGCCACTCAACGTCAGCCACTAAAGACCGATTGCTCCAGGGGTAAGCCCGGGTTGTAGGTGAGCTTGAGTGTGCTGTACACCTCTGCTTACTTGCTGAAGGAGAAGAATCCAAGGGTGAACTCACGGCTCCCAATCAGCACGGACAACAGACAGCTTTGCCATACCTCAACACATAACACCATACCTGGGCAACCTACCTGAGTCACTGACGAGACCACCACAGTGATAGCACTGGTTATCTCGTTGAAAGTCGTAAATACTCAATTGAGTCGTCTCTGGATTTTTCAATATTTACCTCCCTACCTATTTATCAAAGAACAAGAGGGCTATTTCCTCCAGCGCCTTCACCTCGTCGTCACATGCACACCTACCTTGCTAACTGACCACCTACCTTGCCTATCGAACGCCACCACCTCCACCTCCCGCTTCCAACCACCATCCATTACATACATTACATTACTATATCACGACTCTTTACATCGACCCTGCCTCCCGTCATCGTGCTGGCCTTCTTGCTGTTTCATTATCTTGTCTGAATACTGCTTTATTCTGGCTGAAAGCCAGTTTCCTATTAATCAAGCTACCCCAGATTCCACCGCGGCAGGAAACCGCGGAGAGGCCGTCCTGGACTCCTCCGGCGAGCCATCGCACCCAAATCTCCACGACACCACTTCCAGTGAACCAGACACGCCACATCTTCTTTCGAACCTTTCTAACACTACTGCTTCTGCCCATTCCTCCGCCGCCCCCTCGGCTCACGCAACCGCGCCCCAAACCCATCGACAGAACCGGAATCAGACACAGACTGGCATCGCGAATATAGATTCTTCGGCTGCCAGATTTGAAGGACTTCCGGGTCAAGCACCGGCTCGGATACTCGGACGACGTCAACGCTCCCCGGCTCCTGACCGCCGCCTCGAACCGTCAACCGACCGACCCTACGCGCCGGACGATCATCTTATCGCTGAGCCTAGAGCAAAGCGACGAAGAGGCAACGTCACGATGGGTGGCAGCGACATTCTTGATCCCCATAATGGTGCTCCTTTAGGGATTTCTAATGGATCAAGTGAAGTGTCTTCAGGGGTCACAAATGGTAACAAGGCTGCCTTGAACGGATCGTCAGCTCGAGATAAGAACAATTCGGCCATCAGAGGCAACGAACCATCCTCAAAGTACTTTGGCCATGATCGTGAGGAGGTAACCCGACTGTTGATACAAGCGTTATCAGACATGGGGTATCGGACTGCCGCGGATAATGTGAGCCAAGAGAGTGGGTACGAATTGGAGAGCCCAACCGTAGCCGGCTTCAGATCTGCTGTTCTGACCGGGTCATGGCCCAGGGCCGAAGAGCTGCTCGCCGGCGCTTCGCTGGAAACCGAAGACCCAGGCAATGGCCTTGTATTGGCACCTGGCGCAGATCCCAACGCCATGAGGTTTTGGTTACGACAGCAGAAGTTTCTGGAGCTTTTAGAGCAGAAAGATACAAGCAAGGCTCTGATAGTACTTCGAAGCGAGTTGACGCCATTATCCCATGACACTGGTAAACTGCATTTCTTATCAGGTCTGCTCATGTGTCGTTCGGTCGAGGATCTTATGGCAAAGGCCGAGTGGGACGGCGCGAGCGGCCAATCTCGAAAGCTGTTGCTCTCGGAGTTATCAAGTACGTTTTCTGTCAAATCGTTTGGTTCCGTGCTGACATGAGAAGAATGCATATCACCTTCGGTCATGCTCCCTGAAAACCGCCTGGCAGTCCTTCTTGAGCAGGTTAAGCAGAGTCAGATCGATACCTGCCTATACCATACTGAAGCATTATCACCCTCACTCTACTCAGACCACTTCTGTGACAGACGTAACTTCCCAACAGAGGTCGCATTGGAGCTTTCGGATATGCCCGATGAGATTTGGCAAGTCCAGTTCTCTCATGATGGATCTAAGATGGCGGCATGCGGCAGTAGCCCAGAGGTTATGATATGGGATACACGCACCTTTAGGGTCTTAGAGTCTCTCAATGGCCATGATGGCGGCGTTGGAAACATTGTTTTCAGCCCTGACGATTCTCTAATTCTCTGCTGCTCGAGAGACGGGCATGCAAGATTATGGACTACTCATGTGAGTTATTACCATCCCTCGATTTTCACACTCGAGCACAACACTAACAGCGAGCTTAGGGCGGGACTTTGATCAGGAAATTCCCTAAATTCGATGAACCGGTGAGCGGCTGCGTCTGGGCTCATGACAGTCGGTCACTGGTCATTGGAACGTTAGATCCTAATTACAGCCTTCGCACTCTGAACCTGGATACGAGTGAGCAGTACGAGTGGGGGGTAAAGCATAGGGTTCAGGATCTGTGTGGATCGCCAGATGGTCGCTGGCTTGTGGCTGTGGACAATCTGCAGACAATCCACGTTTACAACGCTGTTACACGAGAATTGGAGTTTGATATGGAGCTTAAAGCCCGACCGACATCAGTCAACATCAGCCAAGACTCGCGTCATCTTCTCGTCAATAAGTGCGACGGTGAAGCTCAGCTCATCGATCTCCTAACGCGGAACTCGGTCCAGAAGTTTTTCGGTCACACAGGCGGTGACTATCTAATCCGATGCTCATTTGGTGGAGCGAACGAGAGTTTTGTTCTTAGTGGCAGTGAAGATGGCAACATTGTTATATGGCATAAAAACACAGGTGCGGCAGTCGAGCGCCTGCCTGGCCATCATCCCCGCTGCAATGCCGTTGCATGGAATCCCACCGACTCGTATATGTTAGCGTCAGGGGGAGACGATGGCCGAATAAAGATGTGAGTGTCCGTTGCGTTGCCACAAGCAGCCAATGATTGAGTAAACAGCTAACACGAACCATTCAGCTGGTCCAACAAAACAGTCAGTCTTGAACTAAGGGCTCGTCATAACCAAGCAGGCAACGGCTGGGCAGCAGAGGAAAGATGAATGCGGTATCGTCAAAGACTCCTGATGCATTGAATGTGTCTAGACTACCCTGTTTTTTGGGGGGGCAGGAAGAACACAGTGGGTGTGCTTTGTGTTTGGTTTTATAGAGTAGATGGAAGCGAATGCACGGAAGCGCAACACCAAGAGTACTCGCCGATCCAACCGTAATTATCATGGGCTGAGAGGAATCGGGAGAGCGGCCATTGATTGTCTCGGCGTTGGGTTTGGGTGTTGATTTATAAAGCGAGATGTCGGAATATGTTAAGATCGTCGCCCTTCTGTATTCAGGCAGACAGAAGCGTGAGTGTGAAATCCCACCTTTGTAAACCCTTCTCCTGTCCGTTTCTACCTTGGCAGCCCAGAACGAGTCTCCTTCGTGTGCCAAAAGGTTGACTTACCCTGAATAAGACAGATTGGGCGTCGCCTGTAAGATCGTTTCTGGCACAACATATTTTCCACCAAAGCAGCAGAAGACAGCAGTGAGCCGCCAACTGAAAAGATGGTGTCAACTACGCAAATAGCGCAGGCGATGATATCGGTGTATCTGTTTAAAGTCATTGAGCTTGAAGCATCCTGTAACAGACTTACGCTCAATCTCGAAGTCCCTTAGCCCCCAGCAAACCTTGTGGTCTGGAAAAGCCATGGCAGAGTGAATCATGGTCTCAAGAAAAAAGATCAAATGAGAGTACAGTGAGTCTTGTGATTTGGCGACCGTGGAAAGAGACAACTTCACCGGAATTGGTCACGTAGGTAGTCAAGGCGCGGTACAATGTGATTCCCGAACGGATTCTTGCTATTCCCACCAATGCCGCAGTCAATACCATAGAACCACAAAGTCAAGATTTGGATTGGGTCAGGTAAGATACTGGAGCACTAGAGGCGGTCTGCTGCCCGCTTGGATGGGTGGATATAACTGGCGATGTCTACAAGAGTTGGAGTTATTGTGAAGAGATTGGACAAGAAACCAATTTCTGTAATGGTAACCGGGTTAAAGCATGAATTGGCCAAGGACTGTATGTGGCCGATAACTGAATGGACAACGTCTAGGGGAGGTAAGAAAACTTAGGACCTTCATCCAAATCGACAAAAAGATTTTAGCATCTTTGTTTAAAGTTAGAGGTTTTCTTACTCCCTGGGGAACGCTCCGCAAGACGTATGCATAGAACAAAGAATCCCCAGCTTAACCTAATACATTTCATTATCGGCGGTACCTGCATGAACCGACCTTGCAGTACTGGGACCAGGGCAGATGGGTGGCGGCCAGGTCAAGCACGGGATGGCACGCCATTTGTGCATCCCCAAGATCGATATTAGGCACAAACTGAGAGCATCGTAGCCTCAAAATTGAAAGACTAGATATAGTCAGGGGTTGACACAGTACTGAACATGCTTATCACACAATAGCCTATCGGTGCGCCACGATCTGGGTTGGGTGGTGAATAACGTATCGACAACAGCAGCTGAGATACTGGGCTAGACGAGCAGAGGTTCATGAATCTATCTGAATGTAGGTAGTTAAGGACACCTAGATCAAAACATCGAGTGCCCCAGGAGTTATCCAACTTCTAAGATCTGATCAAGGTCAGGTCTTTGCATTTGTGGCGAATACACGACGATTTCAACTACAGGCTCATCAAATTACTCGGCAAGGCACGATGCTATGATGGGTCACTGGTGGACTTTGAAGAAGGGTATTGGATATATGCATCCAATCATTTAGTCCATCTACATCAAGAGACAGACCAAGGAGGCGGCAGCCACAGTAAATCAGAATCACTTGCGTCTCCTCCGGAATACATCCCCAGACCCCTCAAGTGACAGATGAAAGAGTCGAGCCATTTTACAGAATTGAGAAGTACTTACTCGAACTTCTTCTCGAAAATTCAACTAGGAAGTTAAATTGACTTACATCTGCCAACACCTTGGTTATGGATCCATATGAATATTGCAAAGCCGCCGCCGATACATTTCGGACGGTGAAGCGAAACAAACTACACTCTGCTGGTTTCCGCACACAATGACATATCAGAATTCATAGAGTATAAATAATCACGATGTAGGGGGCTGATTATCGATTTATCTGCCATTGAGACTTCTCCTCCTTGGCTTCCTTTGAACCCCTGTCGACACATGGTGATCCGTGCATTGTCGAGCCATGTCGAGAGACACCCACAAGACACCAAGACCCTGACGTCTGTTTCCCCCCTGACGCTGGAGCCACCATGGCTCACGGACGACGTGTGCACTAAGACGGATGAAGAGCAAGGCCGAGGTGGGAATGAAGGGCCGAAGCGGGGGTAGAGTTGGTGTTGTTGAAGGGGCATCTGTAGCATCTTCACAGAAATGAATGTCAAGGAGGGCCAATTAAAGATGTTCTTTGAGGCGGCAAACCGTATTAGATGGTTAGAAGAAAGGGGTCAACGAGCGTGTTTCGAATAGGGTCGTGATAATAATATCCCACTCACCCGAGGATAGAAAACTGCTTGGTAGTTAACGTTCTGAACACTGTCGTTGTGCATCCGGAAATAGCTCCTTCAGGAAGAGGACGGAGAGCAAACACAGAGCGATGTCGATGTCACTTTAAGACCCCTGGAAATACCCCGACGGGATTTGATGTTTCCAATATCCCTGCTTAGTGGCCTAGGAACGGCCGCCGCAGGGTCAGGTATCTGGTATCTCACTGTAATTGTGTTTACTACCTAATATTCAGTAGAAAAGCTGACGTTCAGCTCGAATGAACGGTCAGGAAACTCGTAGAGTGAAGGTTATATTTCCATGTTCATCATTTTCCCTACATTGTCGGTACTCAAGCGATAACCTTAGGGATAAGGGCGAGTCTGTAAACCATATACGGTTAGTCGGTAGGGGAATGAAGAGAAGTCGACTGTCGGAAGGATTCTGAGGCGAGGATGCTTCGGCCTACCTTACTGTACATACCTTACTACATGCTATGTATGTATTAATGCGTTGATATTACGTTAGTTATAAAAGATCTGGAAATCGTCGCGGGATGGGCCGGCGCCGCGTGTAAATGGGTGACGGACTCTGCCAGTCTGCCCATAAGGTATCGTAGCAGCACGTAGGGAGTACAGAATCCCAGATTGCAGAAAACCTAGTGTAGTATTTTGAGTATCTCTGATGGAGCCCGCACTGGTAGCGCGGTGTTAGAACAACCACAACTGTTGACTTTCACCATTTGCTGACCACCTCTCTAAAAAGAAACGACAAAGAACTTGAATCGATAGTGATCATACATGTGGTGTTGCGGATAAGTTCAACCGCATCCAAAGTACTTTCGATGAGGCTTTCAGCTCTTGTTTCTTTCCTTTTAACTCAAGACCATAATACAGCGACTGCAGCTAGGCACTAATATAAGGCAAGCCTTTGCTTTTTTCGATCTTGGGGGATCCCTGCAGATGACATACCGCACTCCGTGCATTACCGTGCGATGAGAAACACCCAGTCGATCCAGGCATGGGTTAACCAATGGCTCAAGCGTCGGTATGGGCACGGCTACAAGCACAGGAGTTGGGCTTCGATTTTCGGGTTACGACCCTCATCATATCGTTTGTTTCTCAAATATAGTGTCCACAGACATGGTTACCAATACTCCTGGAACCGATCAATGTAAGATGCGAACACGCTATACATACATAATTAAGCGGTCACGCGGACCTGAAATTAACACCCATCCTCCATGGGAGTTTAGAGGGAATCACGGGCAATCAAACGTCGAAAGGGAATAATGCAGCGGCGAGAATCAAGGGTACTGGAGGTGCTGGAACAGAGACTTCTCAGCGGCGAGATCGGCCCACCAAATCACTTCGTGGCTTGCAAAGGAGAGCAATTCAGAGAATCTAATGTAGCCGCAATCTTGCCAGAAGCGCTAAGGTATCCTGAGTCGTGCTCCCTGCATCCTGCAGCAAGCAGGTTGGAACGATATCTTACATACTACGTAGTAGTAACTTCAAACGCTCCGGGGCTGAAGAAAGGAGGAATTCCTCACCAATCTACGAGCTGAGTCTGCCCTGCAGGTTTCAGTCCTACCTATCTACCAGATTTTGCTTCCCAATTTTGCCCATTGAGACACTATTTTACTACAGCTGGGGGAAAAGAGGATTGAATATTATGTCCAAATGCCCTTCCTACCTGGTAGGTACTAGGTACTAGGTACTAGGTACTAAGGTAGGTTGGTCAGCAAGCACAGGGGTACATACCTGGTAATCAGTTGTCAAATTCTCCTGGCGTAGAGTAACAAGGTCGATCCACCAGGCTTACCCGAGTCAGTTTCATCTGGGATGAACTGTTTGCTGACCGACTAACCGCCTAGTTTCTCAAAAGTTGTCCATAATTGGGAAATTTCCTGACACACATGTGTGAAGTTCTTATTCTTCTTGCTCCTCAACGTTGATTATGCAAGATCTCACGCGATACGGCCAGACACTGACTGCGCTTTAAACTTTGTAAGATCTCAATAAGATATCCGCGCTCGGTCCTCCCACCACAGAAGGAAGAGAGTAAAGACCAACATTGTTATTTATTTTTTAAAGTACCTTAGGTACTTAGGCTAGAAGCTTATGGCCAGCAGGAATGCCTTAGTACCTAGGTCTTGAGGTAGGTACCTAAGGTTAGTGGTTATAGGTTGTGTCGGCGTGTGCCTTTCTTTCTTCCACCTATGCTGGTAACTTAGGAGAAGGGTATGGGGCCTGGCAAGTTGTGTTGGCCTTACTGTAGGGAAACCGCTCTACCGGTGCTGAGGTTGTTCCTTCCATTTCTGTTCGAGACTTTTAGTTCATTTCGCCTGATTCTTGGTTGTACCGCATCTTCCTCTGTACCTGCCTTAGTACCAATCCACCCGCATCGACCCTCGCGCCCCCCGGTCTTTACTCAAAGGTGGATCCTGCTTAAAGGTGAACCTCGTGCTAACCATGTCTCATCCAAGATGGATTAGGTCAAGAAGCTGAGGCCATCTCATCATGGTCCCCTCCTCCCGCATCCATCCCATCTCCAACAGGGGCTGGTGGAGGTCGGTTAAAGAAATCCAATCCGATGGAAGGAAGAGAAGACCTTTAGACGGCCAGCCAACGAGCTGAACTAATCAACGTTTGTGTCTACCTAAGGTAGGGGAGTAAGCCACCAACGAAAACCAAGCCCATCCTTCTTCATCAAACAACCCTTTTAGGTTTTCTGTTGTATTCTATTCGACTTTCTTAGCAAGACAAGACGAGACACGGGACGGTTGTTACCTTCCTTTTTACCTACTAACCTACTGTTTGCACCTAAGCCTGCTCCTAACCTAAGTTTGTACCTGGCCTTAATTGGCTACTTCGATCTGCCCGTCCCGTCTCCGAGCAGCTGCCGAACCTTTCATTATCCGGCCGAGTCCCCTTTAGTTTGCTTCTGTCCGGTCGCCACAAACATCATTGGATCTTTCGACTCTTCTAATTTTCTTCTCTGCATTCCACCTCAACGGGATTTTGACTTCATCTTTTGTATGCTCAGCTTGTTTTTGATTAGCCAGATTTCGCAGTTCTGTTTCTGGGAGCTTGTTTGTTTTCTGCTACTCTTGGTTTTGTTGGGATACTCTATCCCTCTATTGGCTTCCGTTCATGATTCAGTTCTCATGATGCGATTGTGATCCCGCTTGCTTGCTTCTTTTGGCATCAATCAGTCCGACTTGTCATTGTTCCTATGGTTTACGTTGCACATATTGTTATCGTGCCCATTCACCATGGATAACTTGGAAGGGATGCTCCTGGTCCCTCCAGAACGAGGCCAGATTCTTGGTAGAGCTGTTTGGAAGGTTAGTCTCCTTTATCGCGCCGCTTCATTTCTCCCCCGAACTCACAATCGTTCAAAAAGCTGCGATATGTTGTCGTTGGTAGACGTAACACCAGAGGTGGCCCTAGTCAATCACAGTTTACATCCAACGGTCGCAACAACAGTCTTGGGGGCAGCAGATCTTTCCCCAAACTACCCATAGAAGAATCCTGTATACTCATCTACAAACACAAGGTATGAAGCCCCTGAGTATCTAACCCGATGTCTCCCAGCTGACTCCATCGGAATTTTAGGACGACAATGAGCCAATTCAGCAATGGCCAGTGAACTCTATCACCGATTGCCAGGTCCAGCAGATCAATCACCGCAAACAGGGCCCTGTTCTTCCTACTCTCGTCATATCTGTTGCCGACAAAGAGAAGAAGCGACGTTCGAGCCGGGCTGCCGGTCTCATATCATCGAGCAAAGAAGCTAGCGCGACGACTCTGTGGTTTCGCACGCCTCCAGACGATCATCATCTCAGTTTACATGAGTGGGCACGCAACATTCTTGCTAGAAAATCTCCGATGAGTCCAGAGAGCCCAATGTCACCCCAGTTCTCCAATCCTTTTGCCTCGATGTCTCGCGACACCTCCGATTATTTCTCCCGGCCAACTAGTGGAAACAAATCCGGCCGTTCTGATCCACGGAGTCTTCAACACAAGAGCTCTATCAATACCCAATCAACAAATACAACCACCACCACCAGAGAACGGCCCCTCACATTCAGTTCCGAATCCCCCAGTTTACGATCAAAACGCAGCGATGTCTCTTCCCCTTCGAGCAACAATTATCCAATTCAGCAGATGAATTTTCCGATTCCTGGGCAGCACTACACTACGGTCCTTCCAACTGATTTGCCATCCCCTGTCAACACCACAGGAGATTATCAAGGGGAATTCATTGAGGGGTGGACCTCCGCACAAGGGAGGTCATCCACAATGAGCTCGCCGATCCGCGGTCGCAGCAGTATTGGCTCTCAACCACATCCCTCTATCGCAGCGATAGAGTCCAGCTCTCCGCCTGGGCCACGTGAGACCATCTTGGACAGAGCGTTTCAGATGCGATGCATTCCTGGCTCGGAGCGAGAGGTGCCTGGCGAGGAGAAGTTGAGCTCGTTAGCTCGATTTGATGCATTGATGCGAGAAGCTGACGACAAAATGAAACAGAGGGCAGAAGCCGAACGAGCCCAACAATTGGCAATGCGCAGTGCTTTCGAGGCCTCTGACAGTTCCAGTCAAGATGATGAAAGTGATTCCGACGATTTGGACGAGGATGCATATGGAGGCGTCCCTGATCGACGAGGTCCGGCCTTGATACCTTCGACAACACAAAGGGCATTGCAGTTTATTACTGATCGTCGCGACCCAGCACCGCTATCACCATCCAGCCGTTCTTCGGTATCAAGGACTCCAATGATACCCCAGTCACCTCCTATACGACCGCACACTGCACATGCCAAGACGAGGCCTAATCCCACGCAGAGGACCAACAGTACCCCTCAAATGATTGCCAGCATGGCTAGGCTAGAATTGGCAGCACCCCCAAACAAGGTGTCTGACGATTCCTCATTAAGGTCGAATGGAGACAAGCGTCTCTCCACTTCAAGCACTGCTACCAAAAGGTTGAGTTTCACCGAATTTACCAAAAGACTATCGAGCACCAGTAGCTTACTGTTCGTCCAGACGAACGCTAGTGGGAGGAGTTCCCGGAGAAGCAGCGAGATCGACATCCAGCCCTCGTCCCTACCACGTGGGACACTGAATCCACAAAGATTTGCAGTGCCCACCCGAGACCAAGACCGAGACCAAAGCTCGGGCGATGTCACCACGAGATGCGGATGGCGCAACAGTGTTGGCGTTGTCAGTAGAGATGGCACCTTCTTCTGAGTTCGCCATATCAAGAAACAACGAGACCCCTATACTGAGACGATCACACGATACTCGATCCCATGGCTGAAGCTTTGACGATTCTGAAGCGATATCTGATTCTAGATTTTGCCATCATGCAATTGCATATGATAAGGATATGGGCAGTCTTCGGTGCAGCCTAGCTGCTTGTACGATTTTGATACCAAACGATAGCATCGTCACGACTCTTATGAATGAGATAAGGGGCCATTGGGTACGTGGCCCCAGGCGTTTACTGTTCTTGGATGACTTTCTGTCTCCACAAGCATTGATCGGTGTCTTTGGATTCTGACGGACATTGGCATACATTCAGCCCCATAGATATGTCTTGAGGGAGGCTCAGGTGTCATGATCAGGCCCATTACGAATGATACATTTAGGCGCCCTGTTTATTTGGTTTATTTATCATACAAGGGTTGTTTCACGATCAAAGCATCATCTCATACATCTTAAAACTACTTTTGACGTGATAGCATTGTCATGCACGTGAAGTCATTGGTGAAGGTTTCTCGGAGGCTGGAGCTCAGAGTCCGTCCTCACTTGATGTGAGTTCTCCCCAGTCCTCTATTACTATTGCCGATTTGGGTGCTCAACTCTCATGCTTTTGTCTTGCGTGTAATCCATCAATTGCATTTGCAGACCCTCGTTGGGTCTTGGTATTCTTCGTAAGGCCCATTCAGTATCATCTAACATCCCACGGAGGGACGTCCTTGACCCCCTTTTTATCATCCACATTCAACATACCGGACCTCCTTGGTTTATCGGATATACTTGGTGATGGCTTCTTGCTCCTCGGGGCTTAATCGCTCACTGATGAAGCGCTCAACTGCGCCGCCATGTCGCTGGTTGGCGCTGACCATGTACTCCTTCACCCACTTGGTGACGTCGAGAACCTCGGGGAAATCATCCTTAGCCAACGCTCGGCAAGTGTTGAGTGCAGTAAAGGACATGCCGAAGCCAATGTCATCAACATCTGCCTCGGCAACGACCTCGTCACCAGCGCCAGCAGCCACAGTAGGAGGGTTGACTAGTAGTGAAAGAAGCTTGCGACAGCTGTTGGCCCAGCCCTTCGCGAACTGTTGAGCAAACGCTGACGAGTCACACAGAGTCTTGGTGAGAGAGACAACAGCAACCTTTCGATCAACTGGGCGAGCAAGTTTCTCTGTTTCACCAAGGACAAAGGCAGGGTAGACCTTAGTGAAAACGCCATCTTCCACAGAATTTGACTGCTGGATGAAGTAATCGGCTCCATAGCCAGCCTCAAGACGAGCAGATACAAGATGGTAGAAGCGAACAAAACGGAGTTTTAGAGACTCGGCAGGAGCTCCTTGAAGCTTCGTGTAGATGAGCCTGAGAATTGTACCGAAGTAGTCATTAAGGACAGCCCTGTGGCAAAATATTAGATACAAACACTCAACACGTGCAAATGGAAGACTTACGGCTCAAAGCTCTTGACAATGGAATCCAGGATGTCAAAGGCGAGTACCTCCGACTTTTTGCCACTGAGCAGTTTCTGGAAGATTCCAAGCACAGGCGCAATTTGGTCCTCGGCCTGAATAGCTTGGGATGCCCGAGGAATGACAGCTGACAAGAGGCGGGTGCATGCAGGGACGTTCCCTCGAGTCTCCCAAAGTGTTGGGTTTAGAAGAGGACCTAAAAGGGCCTTGTAATTCTCCGAGATGGTCTCAGAGGGACTAGATTCGAGAAGCTGCGCAAGAATCTGGAAGACATATTGCATGAATTCTGAGAACGTGTTAGCAAGGTTCATGAACATGGGACTGCGTGACTTACCCGTGACATCCTCGACCAAGATTTGATGGAAGGGCCCCCACAGCTTCTCGTTGAAAAGAGCAGCATTGCTAGGGGCACAGTATCGGACAAGAGCACCAATGGCCTCAAAATGATAGTAATAGAAGCGGGGGTTGCTGGGGTTTTGCTTCATAACATTGGTGATGAGGATAAGATGAGTCAACACATTGTCTAGCAGAGGCATAGCTCCGTCCTTGATAACGATCAAAATTCTCATAACACAACGCATTAAAAACTCGTTCTCCTGCAGCTTGGCAGGACTTGATTCCTTTTCAATGAGTTTGAAAAGATGACCGAGGAGATCCTTGGCGAAGGGTTCAATGTCTGCACGGGGAAACATGGCATTGCCCACATCATCTGTGAGGAACAACACCCTCTCCACTGCAATAGCAGCATAGGAGTAAACGACGTAGTTATCCGAGTTCAGGTTCTGGATCAGAGGGCCCAGAGCCACTTTCCATTGCTCCTTAGACAGCTGACTTCGGAAAGTGTAGAGGTACTTGATAGCGTCCACCTTCGAGATTGGCTCAACACCTTGCGCGCTGATAAGATCTTGGGCAATGTGCTGCTCAAAAAACTCAACGACATTGACAAGAGGGTTAACAGTCTTTACACCCTGGGCAGCAGTAACAGCACCCTTGGCGGCAATAGACAGGAAGAGATAGATAGCAGTATCCTTGGCCTTCCAATCACTGCTTCCCTGAGACAAGTAGTGACCGATATATTTAGATACCACCGTTGTCACAGGCGCTTCAAATCGTTCCTGAAGCTTTCGAAGAAAGTCGGTAGCAGATCGACGACGAGAGTCTGTATCGGATCCCTCCAGATCCCTGCGAATGAATTCGATAGGCTCGTCCTCGAAGAGCTCGATATCCGATTCGCGAAGCGCCACGTTCGGTAGAATAACCTTCTCGACAATCTGTGTCAAAACATCCTCGCTGTTGAAGATTCCTGAATGTTGTGTGGAGGACGCAATAGCGGTTAGGAAATGCAGAGCTTTGCTGACAATAATGTCGTACTTGGTCTCGGGGCCAGTTGAAGACAAAAGGTTCCACGCCTTCTCAATGAAAGGCTGGCAGTATTTGGAGAAATCCTCGTCGTATTTGACGGTGAAAAGTTCGAGGATCTCGCATATATCAGCCTTAACAGTATCAACTATGCTCGTCTCGGTGTCGTCGTCGGTCTCCAACAAGGGGTTGGAGTACGTAAGGTACTTGTGGAGGAGTTCAGAGATGCTGCCGAGGTTCTCCTCGAAGATAGGAGGTAGATCATGACAAGACATGTCATGCAGAATCTTGATCTGAAGGTCCAAGGCCTCGAACCAGCCATGCAGCACGTCCTTCTTGTCGTTGTTCTCGGCAATCTTCTTATCGGTTTTCTAATGCGCCAGAAAATATGAGCACGAAGCAGACAAGAGTGCTCACTCGCCATGACTTACCACGAGAAGCTGAACGAAAGCTTGTCCAAAGGTCTCAATCACATGATTGATTTCCATGTAAAGTTCGTCTGTTCGAAAGAGGGGTCGCCATCTGGCAAAAATAGAGTGTGCAACTTCGAGAACACCGACGTTGACCTTGGGGTCAGTAGCGGAAAACCGGCTGACGAGTTCCTATATCAAGAATGTCAATACAGGAGATAGTAACTACACATCGATATTGCGAGCTCACCTGAGTAAGGGTATCCCATCGTCGCCAGAAATCAGAGTCTGCGATAACGCTGATAGCGTCACCAAGCTGGGCCTGAATATTTGGAGGAGATGAGATCATGAGACCAATGAGGCGCTCCTTGATGACTTGAACTTCATCTTGAGGTAGCTTGTAGTTGCCTTCCTCGTCCTACACGAAGTTTGCGATTTAGTATTCTGGACAGGGTCGATCGAGTGAAAGGCAAGACGCACCACATAGTTTGTTCGGATAAAATTCTTGAAGGCCAATGCAGCAGCGAGTCGGGTCTTTGGTGGTAGGGTGTCGGAGTTGACAATGTTGAGAAGACTGAGAGAGTACTGAGGCTTGGTAGCCTCTTGTTTGAGGGCAGTCTCGGCTGTTGATGATGATTGTTTATTAGTTTCCAATCAAAACCGCGGGGCAACGAAGGGGTGGGACAGGCAACGGATCAAGTACCTTTACGATGCTCTGTAGGATCCAGAGTTGCGTCAAGAAGTTGAGCGATCTGACCAATGTCGGCCGCCATGATGAGGAGGTATTAGTAAGGGGGGCTTCTAGAGGAAACGGTAAAGGACGAAGAGAAGAAAGAAATGAGCGGTGGTGATGGGGAAGGACAAGTTTGGAGGTAGTAACAAGAGCTGAGAGGTTGCAGGTTCAGGTTGATAAACAAATCAAAGCTCGGGCGGCTCTATTTTTTTCTGGGTCTCCATTGGCGAGATACTATTGGCAGTATATGGCCTCGAAGCCTTCAACAGTGAGCTAGCCTAAGCAGTCGAGCTGCAGTTGATGGGCTCTAGAGCTAGTCGCACTAAGGACAGCTCTAGGTCAATACCTGAGCCCTCAGTGAGCAAGAAAACTTATGATCTAAACCTAGGGTGCCAATATCAACTGATCTCAAGGTTCATTGAGTCTACACTAAATTTACTGGAATGTTTTTGTCACTTAGGATAGAGGTCCTAAGTTTTCTTGTCTCACCTAGCTAAGGGACATTAACTACCTCGTAGCTTAATAGCACCCTAATTGGCCGTACTGTTACCCAATGGTGGCCTGGTAATACAGCTCATCTATACAGAGGGTATGGAAAAAAGGATTGTTATCAAGGAATTCAAGCGACAGGATGTAAAATATAGGCTATTATTTGCATTACTCTTCACAAATGCGACCTGATATTAGATCCGGAAGCCCAGCACATGCTTGTTGATTGCACGAATGACAACACGGTTTTGACCTAAGCAATATGTGAATAAATGAATAAGCCTTGACCCAGGCATTGATTGGAGCCTGCAAAGCTAACATCCATCCATTTGTGGCAGACGATGGCGATACCACAATTGATATGCACAAATACACACATGTATATATTATATTTAAGAAGTAGTATATAAAATTGACTATTTGCTATCGTTTCAATGATCTCAAGCAACAAGATCAGCGTCATGGCCTGTCGCCCAACTCGGCGATGGAACCTACACCAATACAACCGTGGCCAAAGAATACTGCAGGTAC